TTCTGTCTCCAAAAGAAAAACAATGGCGTAAAGAAAAATTCAGAATTCCTGAAGTTTTAATATCTAGAAAAAAATGAACAAAAAAAGTATTAGTAAGTTTCTGAAACATTTTCTCAAACTATTCAGAAAGCAGAATTTGAGTATTTGTTAGTTAAACAAATACTGAAGTTTCTCAGTTTTCTACTTCCATACAATTATTACAAAAGTGGCTATTTTTTACTATAATTGCATAAAGAAATTGTATTTATATATAAAAATAGCAATATTATTATTTAATTTATGTTTTCTGGAAAAAGAGATTCTTTGAATTTTATGATATATCTATAAACAACATGATAAAAATGTCCACAATATAATAAAAACCACAGAAAACATAATATAGCATCAATAATAAAATATAAAACAAAATTAAGATAAGCAGCAAGCAATTAATATATAAACAATTTCAGAATCAATAAATTTAAGAAGTGATATTTCACATTCTAAATGCTTTCTGGAATATTTCTGTTTTTAATACCTTCCTGAATTTCTAGGGCAGGGTGTCAAACTGCCGGCCCATGGGCAAGATGCGTCATGCCAAAACCACGCCCACCCCATTGCCAGCAATGAAAAAAAGTCACGATACATCGTGACATGTCATGTGACGTTGCAAGTTTGACACCCCTGTTCTAGAGGGAAGCTATTCAAGGGCAGATTCAGTACCAGAAAAGCAGTGCATGCACGCTTGTGCCCCGTTCAGTTTGCAGAAATGGAGACTTCCAACAGGTTAATCTGGGATTATGAATCAGACAGGCTAAAACTGTTGAAGATGGTCCCACAAATATGCTGGTATCCATCAATTTAAGTCTGTAAAGGTTAAAACAGCACTTTAAGTGGTTCTCAGAAGCACCTGAAAGTCAATGCAGAGCCCAGAATACAGGTGTCATGCAGACCAATAACTGGGCTGCTGCATTATAGATAAAAAGGGCATTGTCTTACGTGAACGCCGTTTCTCAGCACGGAGATAGATAATCCACTAATGGGTTAACTTAATCCTCCTGCCCAATCAGATCAAGTCAGCCAAACTTGCCACGCCTGTCCTGGGCCTGATTTGCCCCAGTTTTCGACGAGGACGCAGCTACTGACTGACAGCATGACGTGCTGGCTCACAGAACAGACCCTAGGCCTAAGGACCTAATTGGGTGGGTTTGGATTATCCATCTCCGTGCTGAGAAACAGCGTTCAGGTAAGACAACACCCCTTCTCCAGCACTGGAGATGGATAATCCACTAATGGGACATACCAAAGCCCATTGTCCTTACGGGGGGGAAGCGGGCAAGTTTGGAACCGTGCCGCGAGACACCACTTGTTGGAGGACTCTCCTGCCAAAGGATGCCTCGGCGGAAGCATACCTGTCCAGTTTGTAGTGCCATATGAACGGTGATGGGGAAGACCATGTGGCTGCCTTACACACTTCCTCGATGGAAGCCTGCGTGGCCCAGGCCGCCGAGGTGGCCGCACTGCGTGTAGAGTGGTCCATGACACAGGGAGGAACCAGCAAGGAATTGGACTGGTACGCCCCTGCAATGCAAGCTCTTATCCAACGAGTGATTATGGAGGCCAAGATCTTCCGACCCCTGGACGAAGGTAAGGAGACAAAGAGAGCCTCAGAGCTACGGAAGAGGGCCGTCCGTTTGATGTAGTAACGGAGAGCCCGTCGGACGTCCAGAGAATGCCATCGCCGTTCCAGCTCATGGGACGGGTTGGGGCAGAAATCAGGAAGGACCATGTCCTGGGTCCTATGAAAAAGAGAATTAACTTTGGGAACAAAGGTGGGATCTAAGCGGAGAGTGACCCGATCCCAGGGGAAGATACACAGGTCCTCCCTGACTGAGAGGGCCATCTCAGAGATATGCCGGGCCGAAGTAATGGCCACCAAGAAGGCGACCTTGAGGGATAAGAACCTCATGTCACATGAACTGAGGGGCTCAAAGGGAGCCCTGGTAAGAGCCTGAAGGACCCTAGGCAATTCCCATGTGGGATACCTGTGGACCACCGGTGGCTTGGTATTTGTAGCTCCCTTGAGGAAGGAGCGGATCAAGGGGTGTTGCCCCAGGGAACTAACCATGTTGTAAGAGAGCAGGGTAGAAAGGGCCGCCACCTGTCTATGCAAGGTATTAGGTGCCAATCCCTTATTCAGTCTCTGCAGCAAATAGTCTAAAATGTCTGGGACGGTCAATCTCGATAGAGGTATTTGACGAGTGGAACACCACTGGCAAAAGTTCTGCCATGTGGGCTTGTAGATGCAGTTTGTCGCCAGTCTACGGGATGCCTGAATTATATCAATGACCCCTGGCGAGCAGGACTCCTGGATCAGGATCCTGCGTTCAAGTGCCAGACGGCTAACGAGCCATTGAGGGTCTGGTTGAGTCAGGTCCCCCTGGATCAGTGATACCCTGTCTGAAGGGATTTTCCAGGGACGTGATTAAGACCAACGAGGTTGGCGAACCAAGGTTTCCACGGCCAGTAAGGACCTCTACCAGGAGGACCTCTGCCCTCTCCTGTAGAAGCTTGCGGATGACCGCTGGAAGGAGGGGAAGGGGGGGAAAGCATAGAGTAGGCCTTCTGGCCATGAGGTCCGGAGGGCATCTGCTCCCTCCCCACCTGAGCTGGGAACCGCGAAAAGAACCACGGGAGCTGTGAGTTTGCCCTGGAGGCAAACAGGTCTATGATGGAGAGACCGAATCTGTGAGTGATTTCCCTGAATAGCCTCGGGTGCAGACGCCATTCCGAGTGGTCCACAGTTGACCTGCTCAGGACGTCCGCCCTCTTGTTTGCCTCCCCGAGATGTGGTCCGCCCTGAGTGAGGCGAGGTTGGCCTCTGCCCAGGAACCCAGCTGCTGGGCCTCGGCCTGGAGCGCCCGGGACCGGGTGCCCCCCTGCCTGTTCACATGGGGCTTTGCTGCCACGCTGTCTGTAAGGACGAGTACATGCTGTTTCGCTATGCTGCAGCGAAAGTGGCGAAGGGCAAGATGTATGGCCCTGAGCTCCAGCCAGTTGATGTTGTGTCTCAGGTCCGCCCGAGACCACCTTCCTTGGGCCCATTGAGACTGAGAGAGACTGGCATCCATCGTGACCGTGAGTCGCCTAGGGTCCTTGAAAAGAGACCCTTTGGTCATGGCTGGAGAGAGCCACCATCTGAGGGAGCGTAAGGTGGAATCCTTACCTCTCAGGTGGAAGTGCTTGTTCCCTCCTTTTGGTAAGGGAGTAGACACCACTGGATGGGTCGCGAATGTAAAATGGACCAGGGCACAATCGAGATGCACGAGATCATCTTTCCCAGGAGCTTGGAGAGCCCGGAGGCGGACATGGCCTTCTCTCTTCAGACCTTGAGAACTAGGTCCAGTATGCTGCCCCTGCATTCCTGGGAGATAAACCCGGCACTCTACCGTGTCTATGATGGCTCCTAAGTGGAGCAATCTGGTCGATGGGACTGTCTGGCTTTTTTTGAAGTTGACTGAAAAGCCGTGGCTCTGCAAGACTCCGATCACCAGTCTCAGGTTTGTCAGAGCCCTCTGCAGAGAGGACGATTGTATTAGGATGTCGTCTAGGTAGCATTGCACCCGAACCGGCATCAATCTCAGATGTGTTGCAAGAACTGCCAGTACCTTGGAAAAGACCCTTGGAGCCGACGACAGGCCGAATGGCAGTGCCCTGTACTGGTAATGCTGTCCCATGTAGCTGAACCTGAGAAACCAGCGGTGGCCGGGACTGATGGGGATGTGGAGGTATGCCTCTGTGAGGTCCACTGAGGTGAGAAAGTCCCCCTTTCGGACGCTGCCAAGGATGGACTGAAGTGTCTGCATTTTGAACCTTCGGTATGCCAAATAAAGGTTCAGGCGCTTTAGGTCTAAGATTGCCCTCCATCCTCCCGAGATCTTGGGGACTACGAAGAAGATGGAGTAGAATCCGCACCTTCGTTGGGCCACAGGTACCGGTTCTATGGCTCTGATGTCTAGTAAGTGACGAATGGCCTCCTGCATGAGACCTCTCCTTGCATGCTTCTTTGATAGGGGGCAAACAATGAACCTTTTTGGCTGACTGGATATGAATTCCAGAGGCAGGCCGTGGCGAATGGTGTCCAGGACCCAGGCGACTGTGGTGGTGGCCTCCCACTGAGTGACAAAGAGGGAGAGTCTTCTCCCTATGGGAGGCTCCCCTGGGGGGGTCACTTCTTATGGAAGGAGCGACCACCGCCTCAAAAGGGCCGTTTGGACTGGAGTTGCTGCCTGGGTCTTGTGGCTGGTCTGTCAGCCTGACGGTCCTGTCTGGGCGTGAAGGTCCAAGACGGTTGCGTGACTGTTGGGGTAGAGGCAGCCCAAAAGGTCTGTCTACGATTGTAAGGGGTAGTACGCCTATCTGATCGTTTAGTGATATGGGCCAAGATCTTCTTTTTATCCTTGTTCTCTGACAGGTATGGGGCTAAGTCCTCCCCAAACAACTTACCGCCCTGGTATGGAGCTGCTGCCAGGCGCCACTTTGACTTGGCGTCTGCCTGCCAGTGTCTTAGCCATAGCATGAGGCGGGCTGTCATGTTGGAAGCCAAGGATCTGGAAGAGAATCGAGCAGCGTGCAATGTCGCATCAGAAGCATACTCCATCACGGCCATTAGCTTGCTCAGGTCCTGATGTGTGCGAACATCGTCCGCAGGGATCCTGGCCTGCAGTTGGCACAGCCAGATGAGGGCGGACCTGGTGAAAAAGGAAGCTGAGGTGGATGGCCTGATGGACCACGCTGCCACCTGGTGTGACCTCCTAAAGGTCATTTCCGCTCTGCGTTCCTCAGATTTTAGGACCTCTGCCATATCCCCTGAAATAGCAGCAGGGGAGAACAGGTGAGCCAGGGGCTCATCCACTGTGGGTACATTCAGTGCCTTCTCTAACTCTGAGGCCACACTAAACAACTTCCTATCATTAACACCTGGAAGGGGGAACGTACCCGGGGAAGCCCATTGTTTCTTAACTGTGTTGAGGAACAAGGCTAGACATGGAAATGATGTTGGGTGGCCACTGGTTCAATGAAGACAGGGTCCGCCTCTGGATCTGTTGAGGGAGCTCCTGGGGCGGGCTGGCTGGTTCTCCCATGTGGTACTGAGCTAACCTTGCGAAGCAGAGGGAGGAAAAGCGATGGATTAAATAGCCCTCCAAACGGGGGCGGATCCGGAATCGGTTCCTCCTCCTCTGACCATGAAGCGTCGAGCGCCTGATCCTGCTCTGGGGTCGCTGAGACCCCGCTTAAAAAAGAATAGGAGGGAGAAGGAGGGTCTCGAGAACTGTGCGATACTGGACATGAAAGAGGAATGGAGAGCAAGGATTCCGCTCTGGGCACCAACGGGGTCCGGATCGTAAGGGCCCGCTCCACTGCCTGGTCTACCAAGGCCTGAATCCTATCATCCAGGGCTGAGAGGGTGAGTTCCTCCCCTCTAAGCCCTGCAGCCGTAGGTGTAAAGGTGGCTTCCGGGGTGTGGGGGGACCTGAAGGCCTGCACCTCAGGTACCTCCTCGGCTTGGTCATAAGAAGAGCTGGGTTCTGCCGGTGCCCAGACCTCCTGAGGAGCATCAGCAAGACCTAGAGGTAGATCAAAAAAGGTGGACTCTGTCTGAGCAGTCTCAGCCCTGGCCTGTTTTTGAGCTTTTTCAAACTCTTTTTCCAATGCCTGGTGTCTCCTGCTAGCCTGTCTTTCAGCCAATTTGGAGGTTTTCCCCCCAGAAGCAGCCTTGGGCCTGACCTTGGCTGTGATCCCGCCAGCGGCCTCTTGTGAAGGAGATCTGTGCCTTTTCCGGACTGAAGAGGAAGGAGAGGTGGCCCTGGACTGGGAAGCCGTGTTATCCTCCATGCTGGTATGAAACTTCAGGTGCGCGAGCGGGTGCACCTGGGAAAGGGATCAATTGGCTGATAAGGTTGTAGGGCAAAGGCTGGAATTAGGTTGCCCTACCACTCCCCCTGGCCACTGAACCAGTGGTATCCAAAAGGCAGGGCCCCGGTTCTACTTGCAGTCGCTCTTACTTCCACCTAAGTGGACTGCAGTCTGCTAGTGAGGCTTGCTATGTTGCCAGGCCAGCAAACTTGACCAAATTAAAAATAAAAATTTTGAAGGTGGCAACAGCACAGTGTCAGAGGCTAGGACTACTGTAGTGGTTAGCAAGCCCCAAGGTGGCCAGGGTTTAAGACACCAGGAGGCCCAATATAAATATCTTGGGCCTATGCCAAGGATAAATGGAAAAATTTCAATTACCACAGGGAAATTTCCAAGAATAACCTGAGAGAATTCCCCCCCCCCAAGGTAACCTTGGCTGCTACAATCAGGCAAAAGGCCCTTGTCAAGGGAGGCCTCAGTAATGCCTTGTTCGGTCTGGGCTAGGCCGAAGCCTCCAAGATGGCAGCTGCAGGCTGCAGGGCCCCTTTCCCGATCTAGGCCTTCACTGAAAAAGGCACCCAGGGGCTGAGAAGAAAGCATTTAATTGAATTTAAGGACTGGCTAAATGGGTGGGAAAGTCTTTTCCCCACTCCCCACCTTCCCTTGAGTCAGCAAGGCTTTAGAGGCCACGCAGTCATCAAAATGGCAACCACAACTCAAGCCGATCCCCCCCTCCGGCCCCACAGCGTGTAGACTCACCCGGCATGCTGGACCCTTTCCGGAGGGAACGGAGCTGAAGGAGATCCTTCTCAGCTGTTCGTCGGTCCTCCAACAAGCCCACCGCCCCCGGAACGTCCTAGAGATGCCGCGAGACAATCTGAGGGCCCTGCGGCCTCCACACACCAAACCGGCTCTTCCTGGCTATCGGAGCTGCAACCGCAAGCCCCGACGACAGAGTCCTAGCCGCAGTGTCAGAAAACAAACCGTGGGCCGTCGATCCGAGGTCCCTATGATCTCCGCAAGCCAGGGCCGGTCTCCTTAAGGTTGTCGGGCTGCAGCCGCAAACCCCAGCACCCAGAGATTCGGGGGGGGGAGAAGAAAGGAAGAAAAGGAAAAAAAGCGGAAAGCCTCCCTTTCCTAGGCGAGGGGGGAAGGAGGGGGGTAATTTAGATGCCAAACAGAGTCCTCCGTTTGGAAAGCTGAGTCCCAGTGGGAATCAGTAAATTTGGTCCTCTAGAGGAGCGTTGGTCCCAACGCTGCTCAGAGGGCTCAGAAGGAAATAAAGTTCTTAAATCTAATAATGAAATGGATAATCCACTAATGGTATCTACCTGCCTGTGAGCAAACCTGCACGTGTGCTCTGGGCGAGGTCAAGTTGAAAACTGGGGCAAATCAGGCCCAGGACAGGCGTGGCAAGTTTGGCTGACTTGATCTGATTGGGCAGGATTAAGTTAACCCATTAGTGGATTATCCATCTCCAGTGCTGGAGAAATTCCGGGTAGTCTTCAAAGGCAATCCCACATACAACACACTGCAATATTCCAAATAAAGTTACAGTTAAGGGATTACAAATCTTCAGTTATATGAATTTGTATGCCTATTATTTAGGACCAAATTTTTATGATATCTCTTAGTAGAAATTTTCTCTCCTGGGCCAATCTGGAATATTCATATATAGCACTTTTAATTAATTGGACTTTCTCTCTTGCCACAATACATAATAAATGTCAAGAGCTCTTTCACTGTTTCATTGATTTGAAGACTGTGGTGCATTATTTCCAGGAAATGGCCTTTTGATTTTTTTTGTTATGGTAAACTGATGCTCTGGAATAATCCAGACTTCAGAATTAATAAAAAATATTTATTATATGGAAGACATAGGTAGAAATTGGGATTTATAGTTTGGGTTAATTATTAGATGAAATTATGAATGTGTCTTTTTTTGTTAAAGGGCAAGTGTTACCTGCCTAATATGGCAAAATAGTAGTATTTGATTCAATAGATATTAGATTATGCCTCATTCAAAAAAAACATACTTTGGTCTTATTGCATTTCATTGTGTTTACATACTTTGGTCTTATTGCATTTCATTGTGTTTATATGGTAAACATTTAATAACATAGGAGGTGCCCTGCTGGACTGCACCCGGTCTATCTAGTCCAACAGTCTGTTCTCACAGTGGTCAACCAACTGCATAAGGAGACCTACTAGTCCCCCAGCAGATGGCTTTCAGAGGCAGTCACACTATCATGAAGGCTAATAGTCATTGCTCCCCATGACCTGCATAAATTGGTTCAACATTTTTTTGAGCCGACCCAGCTGACAGCACACATCTCATGGTAGTGAATTCTAAAGTTGAATTATACATTATGTTAAAAAACATCAAATAAATCCAAAAGATTTATATGAATATACAGAATATCTTTCTTCTTTTTACTTATTTACATTTCATACTCTAAGAATTGTAGAATTTTATAAAGGTATATATTATATAAATGTCATTGTATTAAAATAACATATTGTACCAAAATTGGGAAGACGGGAGCAATAGATGGTCCACATCACTAAATTTAGTAATATGTTAAAGGACTGAAATTGTTTTATATTAATATTTTATGGATTCACTTTCTATAAATGTTATTTACGTTCATTATCCTATATATCTTTTCCTGATTTTTACTAGCACTACAATATTTTTGCTTGTATTTTATTTTATTTGTGGTTGTTAGACTTACCAACGCATAAACATCAAATAAATACATCCTTTTGTCTGTTTTGATTGTATCTAATTCAAGCACAAGTTTGCATAGTGTCTTATCATTATTCCATTTTGGGGAAAAATTATCTCATGTATTAATTTGACTTTGAGACAAGAAGTAATAGTTTTTGATGTACAAATCTTTTGAATCATATTCTTATTCCACAGAAATGGGCATTTGGATAAAGTAGGTGGTAAAGTGTACCTTCAAGGGAACTTAGTTCAGAGATCTCTAAAAGATCTCTTAAACCTAGAGCTAGCATGGCACAAGGCAGGAAAAATACAATATCTAAAAGGGAAAAAAATAAAAAGATAAAAGTCCCACTAAATTATGAAACATTATTATCTGTAGACGTGAGAACTAAAATTGCCAAGGCAGGAAGCCACTGTTCCCAGGCTAGAGAGAACTATTATGCCAACCTGTATCAGGTGCCTTCTTCCAAGAGAAGAATTAAGAGTCTATTGACGATAAAAGTGGGAGAAAAAGACCTAGAATTTATATCTATGAATTCAAGGCTGATACAGGCTCTGGTTTCTGTATAGTGCAGGAGACAGATCTTCTGTATACATATGGCTTCATTGTGGTCTGCCATACTGTAAAGAAATCAAACTAGCTGTTGTATCTGTTAGGTTTTTTTTTTTTTTATCAAATAAGTCAATAGTTGTAGAGCCAAGATTTACCACTTAGCTTAGCATGAACCTTGAGGTAGTGTTGTGAATGCATTTCTGTCTTCACCACTTGCCTTTGGTTTGGAAGGTAAGGGATGATTCTGTGTTAAAATTATATAGTGAAGCATCTCAGTGGCTTTAAAGGGTTAACTAAAATGCCTCAAAATAATGTGTGGATAGGAGGAATTTACAAAACCTCAGTTGTTCCACGAACCTAGTATAAATATCAAAGACCGTGAAACACTTAAAAAAAAAACCCACATTCTACACGTAGCTCAATGAAAAGGTGAGCCCACTACGCTACCTCTGTGACAAGGCAAATTCATGTTTAATCATTAAGAATATAATGTACAATATTGTTCACTGCACCTCAAAAAGTATTATAGAAACTGGGTAAAAAATGAAACTTTGATTTTAGGTTTTGATGATTAGAATGTTGTTGCTGTTATAGAAATGGCTTGAAATGTAAAGCAAATGGTTGAGCTTGTAATTCTATTTTCATGCACTAAAAAAAGTCACTACACTTTTTTTTTCTTTCTCTTAGTTTTCCAACTTTTGTTGGAATAAAGTTTAATATAATAAAAGAAGGCACAAAAAAGTGAGCATTATAGAGGTGGAATGGTCTCAGAAAAGGAAACTGAAAGTTGAGGGGGTGGAACTCCCTTAAAATGTGAAAAGAAAATATAGATTTTTTTTTATTTTTTTCAAATTATCCTAGATCCCAAGATTGTTCAAAACAATGACAAAAACAAACAACAGCCCTAAATATTGATGTATTCAGGACATATTAAAGCAATATTTTATGGCATATATAATGGACTTCTATTGTCACAAGATTTTCTAAAGGCTAGATTGCTTTAAAAGTGAGTTAGAAACATATATGAAAAATACCACAATTAATGGCTAGCAAATACGATGCCCATAGATTGTCATTGACAGTATGTGCCCAATACCTAGTGCTAGAGAACATGAGAAGAGGTTGTTTTGCAAATTCGTCCTGTTTATGGCCTTTCCAGAGATTTCTGCTCATATATTCCTGAAACAGAAGCCAGACTAGACCAATCCAATCTACGACATCAAATTCCTTTATATTATTCTGAAAGTACAGTTCTGATTTGAATTACTGGGAAAACTCTTCAGCAAATTATTATACCAAGGAAAATGAATTCCCTGCATGAAGTTTCTAACCACTATAGGATTTCATTTAAGAAACAATATAGTTTATGGATTTACTGAAAAGTGCTGAACTTTGAGCTCTTTTTAAAAAAGTTTAATATTAAAGTTATTTGTGCATTGGCTTCTAAGAGTTCTACCATTTTAAATAAAGTTCTTAAAAAAAACATTTGCATAGAATGTACAAACATAAGCTAAGTGGGGAAAAATAATTTATATCCTGACTAAATTTAGGCAAAGATGAAGCCCCCTTCAGGCCTCGCTCACTACAGAAGTCTGAATCTTCACCAAAATAATACCTATTGTAACGTAATTACCTATGAATTCTTTGAGGCACCTACAATTTAAATGAAATAACTCAGTATCTTTGTTATGCCTAAATAAATTTGGAAAAATTAAATTGCTAGCAATTTTTTCCTCTGCTAAGTTTTAAAGTATACATTCTATTGCAATAGGCTTCTTCGAAACGTAAACAAAAGTTGGTCCATATTTTAACCATTTTCTTATAAAATATTTCTTGATCTAATACAGAAAGAAATTAAAAGTGTCAATTCAGGGCAACTGAGCAGATTAACAAACAAGCATTAAGTGCTTGTTTTTTTTCACAGACAACTGTTTAATTTAAAAATGACTATAGTTTATTCTTTGCCTGTTCTGATCTTTTAAGGAAGACAGGTATGAATATCTACTTGAAGATATATCTCGTTTAGTTAATGTACACAATATTTGTTAGTTGCTGTGTAAAAAATCTGTGTAGGTAAGAAACCATAACCCCACTTTCAAAAATGATAAATCTTTGAATAAACCACATTTTAGCAGATAAATTTGGTACAGTATTAAATGAGATGCTACCACTGGAAATGGAAAAAACTTTGCATGGCAAATACATTGAAATAAAATTATTCCTTATTTTTCTAAATAAATAAAGTGTGGCTTCTTTTTAACAAAACGTCCCCATGTTTCAGATTATGACTGACCAGGAAAGTGATCATGGGGTTGTACTAAATATGTATGGAACAGAAAATTGGCAATTCAGTAAAGAAAATTTAGGGAAGAAGTAGACAATAAAATAATAAAATGGTACCACTTGGCTAGTTGTTGCAACATTACACATAATGCTATTTGTTCTATTCTAGAAAGGTTGCTGTACGACTGGAAAAAAAACCTACATGAAAAAGCTCCTAAAAGAATCAGGGAATTGGACAATTGACAAGAAAGAAGCAAATATGTTTTTTAAAACTTATTTAAAGTTCTTGTTCGAGGAGACTGATCGCTGTCAATTTTGTCGCAGATATTTTTATTTAT